AGTGACTGTGGATTGGATGTAAAAGTGAAGAGACGCATGTTGGACAGCACCGGGTGAATATACAGATAGGTTTATTGTGGAATCAAAGACAAAACAGAGATACAACGCTTTAGCCATGTGGCCTTAATCATGTAATTCCTGGTATGAATTGGTATGGCTAGAAGTGTGAAATCTCTGCCTTAGCCACATGTCCAGTAGTAGTCACACTGTGGGTGACCAGAGACCTTTATTTACTGTGAAACTGCTTGAAAATGGTTTAACATTGAATAGGGGGACAGTGCCAGGGGACTCCAAGTTACTATAACCAATTCAATTAGCTAAAATGGTTATAGTGTCTACAGTGTCCCTTTAAAGACAAACTCCAGAAACCCAAAGCGCTTTATCTTGCTGAAATGTTTTATGTGTGAACAGTCTGTAATTTTTAAAAAGAAATAGCACTTTTATAAATTAACTATGTTACACCCCCTGACTGTCAATCAGTCACCTTGTCCTGTTATTTCCTGGTTTGTTTAGCTCAGTGGAGATAAAATCAAGAGGCAGCAATTGCCCATAGTACCTGCCCTGCATAGACTTATATTTAAGCTGCATTGTGGAGTCTGTGATTGGACAGCCACAGAAAGTCTGGGCGGAGTTAGAAGGGGAGGGCTTGCAAAGACTGCAGATAAGAGATCTGTAGCATTTACAAGCAGTTTTTAGATATACCCCTTTGAAAAAATATACAATTAAATGTATGCATATTTTCATTAGGGGTGTATCGCCTAAATGTGATATTTTTATTTGTGCAGTTAACTTTCCATTTAAGATAAAGATTGCCAAACTGGAAATGTTTGCTAAGTCATCTATGCTTTTATGCCAGCTACTCTAATCTTAATTTCCACTTTAGTAAATTACTGTTCATATCTTCTGATGTGTGTCTGAAACATATTTAAACATTTCCCTAATGCACTTCCCCACAGCAAGGAACCAAGCTTGGTCAAGTACCTTCATGATGCTTGTCTAAACCCAGGGCTCTCCGCGGCTCACCATTGTAATCCAGCTATGGGTTAAGCTATAACCAACTTTAGTATTATTTAAAGACCAACTCCCTTGAATAAATTCACATATATGAGAGAATATTATTATTAGTGAAAAAACTCGTAGTGCTGGCTTACATGGGATAAAAAACATGGAAACGTTTCTTTAAAACGTAACCATATCATAGAAACACGCAAACTATTCCAGACTCATTAAATGGAACTGTACAGGAAACATATACAATAATCACCTGCTACATCTAATTATTGAAAAGACAAATGTGTGGAGCAGCAGGTTAATTGCAAAAAAATATAGTTCCTGCATCTCAATCCTGAAGGCATTGCTGTTCCTAACTAACACCATGCAATAAGAAACAATATGAGGCTCAATAACGTGTTTTGTGTCAGTTACGGCAATGGTAACACATTGTGCATTAATTAACCAAACCAACAAACATTGTGCGCTATCAGTTCTGCACATCCTGGATCTGAGAGACGACATTTTTAAATTCTTTTATGAAAGTTGAAATCCATCCAAACATCTCCTGTGAATCTTGATCTTCTGCTTCTGCAAATTTTTGCTGTGGAATATAAATAAAATGTTTTTATTAAGGGATACAGTAGCCTAGATTTACCAAAGCATACTTTGCCAAAATTCACCAAGACTCTCATCAGCAATTCAGCAAAAACATGTATTTGACTTTTTTCTTATATACTTTTAACTGGTGTTTGTTTTTTAAATGTTGTAACTCCATGATCTGTTTGCTACCACCAACAAGGCATATGTTCGCAGACGCAAAAATCAAACTAGGAGTGACTTTTTCTGAAAACATTATTCAACACACAACAAAATAGATGAAAATGAGTCATGTTTATTCAATAGACTTAAAGAAAATCATCTCTATAGCTATTCCCTTGTTATTAATGCTGCAAACTGATAGTTATGGAAGAGGAACGTTCGGACCTGTGTTTTGACTATAATAAAAGGACAAGTACAAGTAAGGGCTCTATTGGATCCAAAGACTAGGGACCCTAGAACACCGTGGACTTAATGCAGAGTTTGAAATATGTTATTTTTTAAAGCTGAGACATCATATTGTAACATTTCAGGATAAAGAGAAACATATGTATATATCATTTCAATTTTATTTTATGTATAATAAATGTACTGTATATAACAATTAAACAATGTATATATAAATTGGAAGGGGAAGGATAAAACACCATTAGAAATGGTGGAATAAAAAAAATCATATTATAACTATAATTTTATTTAATGTTTTTGGATATAATGCATGTGAAATAAGTAAGTTTAACTAATTAATACTGTAATAGGGATTATAGCCAAAGATGCAATATTAATAATGGAATTGATTTTAATTATTATAAGTTAACTACAGATATATACATTATATCCCCCCACTACAGCCTCTACCTTCCCACTACAGCCTCTATCTCCCACTACAGCCTCTACCTTCCCACTACAGCCTGTATCCCCCACTACAGCCTCTACCTTCCCACTACAGCCTCTACCTTCCCACTACAGCCTGTATCCCCCACTACAGCCTCTACCTTCCCACTACAGCCTCTATCCCCCACTACAGCCTCTTCCTTCCCACTACAGCCTCTATCCCCCACTACAGCCTCTATAACCCACTACAGCCTCTATAACCCACTACAGCCTCTACCTTCCCACTACAGCCTCTATCCCCCACTACAGCCTCTACCTTCCCACTACAGCCTCTACCTTCCCACTACAGCCTCTATCCCCCACTACAGCCTCTACCTTCCCACTAAAGCCTCTACCTTCCCACTGCAGCCTCTATCCCCCACTACAGCCTCTACCTTCCCACTACAGCCTCTATCCCTACAACAGCCCCTACATCAACTTACCCATTCGTCTAAAGCTTAGTTTAGCTTTTATTTCTTTCTTAAAAGCTATTTTTTTCTACTTTATACTTTTGCTGCAGCCCCTATCCCTCCACTACAGCCCCTACCCACCTCTGCAGCCACTGTCACCCCACTAAAGCCATATCCCCCCACTAAAGCCCCTATCCCCACTACAGCCCCTCTTCCTCCAATGCAGCCTTTATCCCCCTCACTTCAGCTCCCTATCCCTCCACTACAACCCCCTCACTGCAGGCCCCTATCTCCCCACTACAGCCCCTATCCCCCACTACAGCCCCTATCCCCCCACTAAAGCCCCCTCACTTCAGTCCCCCCATATCCCTCACTTCAGCCCCTTCACTGCAGCCCCTATCCCCCACTATATCTGCAATCCTGCTGCTCTAGTCCCTTCTCCCCTCTCTACACCCCCCTCACTGTAGCCCCCTTATCCCCCACTACAGCCCCTATACATTGCAACACATATCACTAAAAACTAACCAAACACATCACTCTCATAGATTTACACATAGCTACTTACATACAGCCACACATTTCACACACAGACAGATACAGCACTTACAGCAATCCCACACATTCACAAAACAATATAACCTCTCACACAAAGCCTTCTAAAATATAGTCCCAGGTGAACACCCTAACAAAATGTGCTGCCTGTGGTTATAGTAACAACAGGGTCCCTTTAAATTAAGGTAGTGCTGCATTAAAGCAATGGATGAAGTGCATGATGTTATCCTTTCTTTATTAAGAGATAAATCTTGCCATTTTAGCTAAATGATAGACATGATAGGCAATCAGAAAAAAACTGTAGGTGTTAATGTGGCGAGACCATTAAATTATCCATGTATTCTTTCAAATATAAATGACTGCCCCTTTAAGAGAATAGTGCAGGTGAACCTGATTCTGTGTAACAGGGCTATGTTGCGTCAACTGTTTCAGATTCTGTTTGCCCATCAAATTTCTTTACTTCTCATCCAGCCCAGCGCGGTTCCCAACCTCCCCCTCCATTTGCTATCTGTTGGAAGACACTTGATAGCCTGATTGATAGTTATGCCTTTACATGCACTTTTCTCAAATACAGTATTAAGCAATTCCCAGGGTGTCCTTGTCTGGAATAAAGTTTCTTTCTAGAATTCTTTTTCTTAAACAAGCTCACTGCAACATTACAATTGTCTTTTCACATTAACGTGTGCCTGAAAGACACAGGCAGACAGTGCAAGAAGTATCACATTTATATACAGAATTCAAGCGATACGACAAAGGTTCATTTGTATTTTCAGTATAAATGAATCCATATTACAAGAGATAAAGAGAAGGGTAGAGTGTCTTCTCTCTTTCCTCCTCTCTGCCCCTCTCTGTATCTCTTGTAACATGGATTAATTTATACGGAAAATACAAATGAATAGAGTTGAGTGAACCCGGACTGTAAAGTTCAGGTTCGTACCGAACATTACGATTTTTGGACCCCGGACCAGAACACTGACATATCACTGTATGTTCAGGTTGGCGTTCGGTGTTCAGCAATTTAATGGCGTGTTTTGAAAAGCTGCAGGGCAGCCAATCAACAAGCGTTTGACTCGTGTGCCCTTAGAAGCCATCACAGCCATGTCTACTAATGGCATGGCTGTGATTGGCCAGTGCAGCATGTGACCCAGCCTCTATATAAGCTGAAGTCACATGAGCTCTTATTAGTGTAGGGAGAGGATGCTGCAGCTGTGAGGGAAGATTAGGAAAGAATTCTGGTGTTGAATCTGCAAACTACAGCGATTATTTTTGTGGGTGCTATCCTACATTATTGTACCCTGCCCTGAGCCCAGTGCCACAGAGAAATAATCAGTCTGTTTGTTAGGTGGGCACTTACAACTGCATGTGTGCCAGGCACATTACTTTAATCCTGTTCTGGTAGCTCAGTGGGCAACATCTAGGCATTTTCAAATACTGCTGTGACATTGCAGTTTGACAATTTCAAATTTTTTTGGTGCTAAATAGTACATTTGCGGCCTGCGGTGCACTTCATATCTGAAAGTCAAATAGAACCGTCAAATACTGTGGTTACATCGCAGTTTGAGAAATTCTAATTTTTTGATGCTAAATAGTACATTTGCTGCCTGAGGTGCTCTGCACCAGACTTGCCCTCCAATAGATCCTCGCTAAATTATTTAAAGTGTACTCATTCCAATTAAAGGGGCCTCGAAAGAGTCCTGTATTGTTATTTATCATCACAACCTTCCCGTGTCGAGAGTGGGTAATTTGCACCCCTGCTGCCTTCCTTGGATGTGGTAGCCGTTTCTGAGGCTCCCTCTTTGGAATCGAACCCTGATTCCCCGTTACCCCTGGTCACCATGGCAGGCGCAGAAAGTACCATCGAAAGTTGATAGGGCAAACATCCGAATGCGTCGTCGCCGTCACGGGGACGTGCGATCGCCCCGAGGTTATCTAGAGTAACCAAAGTGCCCGCGCAACGACTGACGAGTTGCCCACATTCTAACTTGTGCTGATTACTGGGTGGCCAGCCTGCTGGATTCCCGTTACAAGGACAATGTGCCGTCCTTAATTCCCTCCCTGGAGCATGATTGGAAGATGCGCAACTACAAGCGCATGCTGGTAGACGCGCTGCTGAGGGCATTCCCAACTGACACCGGGGGCTCAGTGGAAGCACAAGGTGAAGGCAGAGAAGGAGGAAGAGGTCAGAAGGCAGGGTTAGCATGGCCGAAATGTGGAAAAGCTTTGTCAGCATGTCACAACAACCAGCACCACCAGCTGATATGGAACGTCTTAGCAGGAGGCAGCATTTCAGCAACATGGTGAAACAGTACGTGTGCACTTGCTTACACGTACTGACTGATGGGTCTGCCCCATTCAACTTCTGGGTCTCCAAATTGGGCACATGGCCTGAGCTTGCCCCTTATGCCTTGGAAGTGCTGGCCTGCCCTGCACCCAGTGTATTGTCTGAATGTGTGTTTAGCACAGCAGGGGGTGTTATCACAGACAACGGCAGCCACTTGTCCACAGCCAACGTGGACAAGCTCACATTTATTAAAATGAACCAGGCATGGATCCCACCAGACTTGTCTGTACCTTGTGCAGAATAGACACTTATACCAGCCTCACCCAGCCATTGTTATACTCAAGAGCACTTATTCTTTGTTTTCTTTTTTTATATGTTCCAATATTTTGGGGACTACCCCAATTGTTTGCAGGGCACTTGTCCTAATTTTACACCCATTTTACTTCCTTTTGCAGCCCTCTAGCCCTTTCCAGTACTTTTTAGAGCCATTTTAGTGCCCAAAAGTTCAGGTCCCCATTGACTCCAATGGGGTTCGGGTTCAGGGTCAAGTTTGAGGCCGAAATCGAACTTTTTGCCGATGTTCAGCCGAACCCGAACATCCAGGTGTCCGCTCAACTCTACAAATGAACCTTTGCCGTATCGTTTGAATTCTGTATATAAATGCGATACTTCTTGCACTGTCTGCCTTTTATGATTGATGGGCACGTTATGATAAGACCTTCTGTGTCCCAATGTAAAACCAGATTTCTTCACAATAAAAAACATGGACAGAAAGATTGCACTTAGTGACAGTGGGATGAGATAAGTAATTATTAATAATGATCGCTACAGCCATGATGGCATTTTATTTAGCATTCTAATATATAAGGTTCTGTTAGTATGCAGCGCTCCAATTTAAAGTCAGGATAATGCTTCACTTCTCAGTTGAATTAGTATTATTAAGATCTTTACTTTATTAACATTATTCTTCTTTTTCATAGACTTATTCACCTTTTAAGCATTAAGTCCATAACTCGGTTCGCAGTAAAGGCTAGGGTAGTCTTTTCGTCTGCACTAACCTTATATACATCCTGAGCATTAATCAATTCCTTTACTGTCACGGGTGGCAGTCCGGTGCCCGGAACCCAGACAGAGTGTCCAGGCGGCGCATGGACCGGGACCCAATATGCCTGATGATAAGTGGGAGTCTTCAGCGTGGAGGTGGATTAGCAGGGTCTGGTGCAGGGTAACTGCACGCCCCCTGGTGTTGAGCACCAGCGTTTGTGCAGCCACATACCAAGACCCTGATTCAGCCTATGCAGATAACAGGAACTAGGAACTTGGAAATTAAGCAGACCTCCCAGGAGCTTAATAGGGAGGCTCTGCAGCAAGATTGTATCCAGTACTAGAAACAAGGCAAGACTAAAGATAGACACCAAACATGAAAACAAGACAGAACTAATAGAACCCAGAACCAGAGAAGGATAGGAAGCTAAACCCAGAACATGTACACAAGATATGAGGAAAACATGAACATAACATGGGAAGGACTGGACAGGACTGTACATGGGCTGGGTATACAAACTAAAACAAGAAAAGATAACATAGTCAAAACAAGAGTAGAAATAACTAAGTACTACATATGAAAATCATGGGGATTTAGTCACACTATATGATCATACATTGCATAAGCCTGCCAACAACGCCAATGTACCCCATATCTGGCAGGTCCTACACTGCCTAAAGTATGCTAAAACAACCTAAATAGACATATATAGCACTTACCTGCAAAAAAGGGCAGAAGCTTTGAGCAGCTGCCTGCAGGAACACTGAAACAGAAAGGAATGGTGGAAAACAAACGGGTGTGGCAACATAAAACAAACATTTAAAGGAAACCTTGAGACTGGGAATCCCAGGCATGGATTACAGAAATGAACCCAGAAATCCCAGCATAAAGAAAACCAGACATAGAATAGAAAACCAAAAACCAAGAAAAACTAAACAAGAATTGTAACAAGAGTACTGGATACCAGAAGCCATTGCCAGACATCTTCACAGAACAGAGCAGGACGTGACATTTACTGTGTTACCTTATACACATCCTGAGCATTCTTCAATTCCTTTACTGTGTTACCTTATACACATCCCGAGCATTCTTCAATTCCTTTACTGTGTTAGCTTTATACACATCCCGAGCAATCTTCAATTCCTTTACTGTGTTAGCCTTATACACATCCTGAGCATTCTTCAATTCCTTTACAGCGTTAGCCTTATACGCATCCTGAGCATTCTTCAATTCCTTTACTGTGTTAGCCTTATACACATCCTGAGCATTCTTCATTCCTTTACTGTGTTAGCCTTATACGCATCCTGAGCATTCTTCAATTCCTTTATTGTTAGCCTTATACACATCCTGAGCATTCTTCAATACCTTTACTGTGTTAGCCTTATACACATCCCGAGCATTCTTCAATTCCTTTACTGTGTTAGCCTTATACACATCCTGATCATTCTTCAATTCCTTTACTGTGTTAGCCTTATACGCATCCTGAGCATTCTTCAATTCCTTTACTGTGTTAGCCTTATACGCATCCTGAGCATTCTTCAATTCCTTTACTGTGTTAATACGCATTGAGCATTCTTCAATTCCTTTACTGTGTTATCCTTATACACATCCTGAGCATTCTTCAATTCCTTTACTGTGTTAGCCTTATACACATCCTGATCATTCTTCAATTCCTTTACTGTGTTAGCCTTATACACATCCTGATCATTCTTCAATTCCTTTACTGTGTTATCCTTATACACATCCTGAGCATTTTTCAATACCTTTACTGTGTTAGCCTTATACACATCCTGATCATTCTTCAATTCCTTTACTGTGTTAGCCTTATACACATCCTGAGCATTCTTCAATTCCTTTACTGGGTTAGCCTTATACACATCTTGAGCATTCTTCAATTCCTTTACTGCGTTAGCCTTATACACATCCTGAGCATTCTTCAATTCCTTTACTGTGCTAGCCTTATACACATCCTGAGCATTCTTCAATTCCATTACTGCGTTAGCCTTATACACATCCTGAGCATTCTTCAATTCCTTTACTGCGTTAGCCTTATACACATCCTGAGCATTCTTCAATTCCTTTACTGTGTTAGCCTTATACACATCCTGAGCATTCTTCAATTCCTTTACTGTGTTAGCCTTATACACATCCCGAGCATTCTTCAATTCCTTTACTGTGTTAGCCTTATACACATCCCGAGCATTCTTCAATTCCTTTACTGTGTTAGCCTTATACACATCCTGAGCATTCTTCAATTCCTTTACTGTGTTAGCCTTATACACATCCTGAGCATACTTCAATTCCTTTACTGTGTTAGCCTTATACACATCCCGAGCATTCTTCAATTCCTTTACTGTGTTAGCCTTATACACATCCTGAGCATTCTTCAATTCCTTTACTGCGCTAGCCTTATAGCATTCTTCAATTCCTTTACTGAGCCTTATACACATCCTTTCAATTCCTTTACTGTGTTAGCCTTATACACATCCTGAGCATTCTTCAATTCCTTTACTGTGTTAGCCTTATACACATCCTGAGCATTCTTCAATTCCTTTACTGTGTTATACTTATACACATCCCAAGCATTCTTCAATTCCTTTACTATGTTAGCCTTATACACATCATGAGCATTCTTCACTCATTTACTGTGTTAGCCTTATACACATCCTGAGCATACTTCAATTCCTTTACTGTGTTACCCTTATACACATCCTGAGCATACTTCAATACCTTTACTGTGTTATCCTTATACACATCCTGAGTATTCTTCAATTCCTTTACTGTGTTAGCCTTATACACATCCTGAGCATTCTTCAATTCCTTTACTGCGCTAGCCTTATACACATCCTGAGCATTCTTCAATTCCTTTACTGTGTTAGCCTTATACACATCCTGAACATTCTTCAATTCCTTTACTGCGCTAGCCTTATACACATCCTGAGCATTCTTCAATTCCTTTACTGTGTTAGCTTTATACACATCCTGAGCATTCTTAAATTCCTTTACTGCGTTAGCCTTATACACATCCTGAGCATTCTTCAATTCCATTACTGTGTTAGCCTTATACACATCCTGAGCATTCTTCAATTCCTTTACTGCGCTAGCCTTATACACATCCTGAGCATTCTTCAATTCCTTTACTGTGTTAGCCTCAGGGTAAAAGAAAAACAGACCTGGTCTGTTGCTCAGTGGTCCAAAGTCCTCTTTTCTGATGAGAGCAACGTTTGCATCTCATTTGGAAACCAAGGACCCAGAGTCTGGAGGAAGAATGGAAAGGCACACACTGCAAGATGCTTGAAGTCCAGTGTGAAATTTCCACAGTCTGTGTTGATTTGGGGAGCCATGTCATCTGCTGGTGTTGGTCCACTGTGCTTCATTAAGTCCAGGGTCAATGCAGCCATATACCAGGAGATTTTAGAGCACTTCATGCTTCTTTCCACAGACGAGCTTTATGGGGATGCTGACTTCATTTTCCAGCAGGACTTGGCTCCTGCCCACACTGCCAGTAGCAGTGTTCAATGACCGTGGGATTACTGTGCTTGATTGGCCAGCAAACTCACCTGACCTGAACCCCATAGAGAATCTATGGGGCATTGCCAAGAGAAAGATGAGAGACATGAGACCCTGCAATGCAGAAGAGCTGAAGGCTGCTGTTGAAGCATCCTGGTCTTCCATAACACCTCAGCAGTGCCACAGGATAATAGCTTCCATGC